ATAAATTCGAATCGGTGTCGCGCAGGTTGCGATTCTATTGCCCTAACCACCAGGCCTTGCGTTTATTTGATAGAATTAAATAATACACAGTAAAATAATTGAAAATAAAGATTATTTATTTGGTGACGTTTGGTGAATACTTATTTGAGATTTTCAGTTTTTTTTTACAAATTTATTTACACGTCATTGAAACTCTGGATAAGATTGGGATTAATTGAAGTAATATAACACGTACAAATTAGAAAATAAAATATCATAATTAAATAGGACCAATTAAAACATTAATTATTTAACGTGCAATCAAAATACGAACTTTCAGTCACTCCTTTTTTTCAGCTTGTATGATCGTGTAAATTCATAACATAACGTCATATTTTTGTATTGTTCATAAAACCATGATCATTTCATCAAAACGCACGTTTTTGAAATTATGCATTTGTGGCGCCATCTTTTGACATCCTATCAAATTATGAAGCATGAAATGTAACGTTCAATGACATACCATTGTCAAAAAGGTTCTTGTAAGTAAATGTTTATGCTGTAACTTCGAAGGAAAATTATTGTTATTATTCATTCAGAAATCTCTGGTATTCTATTATTCTATGACTAGATATAAAATAGTCTTAAAGAATACTGAAAAACACCATATATTCTACTTTATAAAACGGACCTTCCGTACGTGTTTACTGGGGATTGAAACCTCGTGGTTCGAGTATTTATACATATATACAACAGAATATGTGGCGCAGAATAAAACTGAAAACATTGAGAAAATATTAAATAACAATACATAAACAATTCTACACCTGTTGACAGAGAGCGGGCCCGGCATGGCCAGGTGGTTAGGGCGCTCGACTCGCAATCTGCAGGTCGCGGGTTCGAATTCCCGTCACACCAAACATGCTCGCCCTTTCAGCCGTGGGGGCGTTATAACGTGACGGTCAGTCCCACTGTTCGTTGGTAAGAGAGTAACCCAGGAGTTGGCGGTGAGTGGTGATGACTAACTACCTTCCCTCTAGTCTTACACTGCTAAATTAGGGACGGCTAGCGCATATAGCCCTCGTGTAGCTTTACGCGAAATTCATAACAAACAAACAAACAATTATAATGAACTCACGACTCCATAGTGTGGGGCTATTTTTTTTTTTTTTGCTTTGATTTTTTTTTAAGTAACGAGACGCGAACCACGGACTTTCAAATACACAGTCATTGTTCGACCCCCTTCATTCTCAAAAATAAAAACAATCAGATGTGGGGTTTGTATTTGTTTTTTCTTCCAAAGAGTTTGGTTTTTAATTTCCTTATACATATCATGCTACTGTACAGTTATTACTGTTCATAAAATCATAGAACTTTGACATTAGCTGATGTTATTTTTATTGTATCTGATACATTCAGAATGTTTTCCTTCACACGACATTACAGGATTTTAACCTGTCGTTCCTAATCTTGAATTCTAATCAGATGTTATCGGTCTTACGCACCAGCGTGAGGCCTAACAATAATTAGGTGCGTGTTTTCCATTCTTTTTCTATTTTTATTACAACGTTTGACGTTCCGGAATCCTAAACCATCCACCTATAAAAATGGATAATCCAAAGGAAGGTCAGTCACGTGATCCCAAAAAGAAACCCGGATCTATTTTCATATTCACGGGGATTTACGTGACAAATTGGACATCCAAAAGTCAAACACTAATCTGGAATGTGGTAATACGAACGTTTGTATCTTTTTATCATCGGTGGTTTACAAGTAAATTTTTATCTGGTATGTTCTACGTCACATTTTTCACCGTATTGTTCACGTCACTTTCTCTGTTCTTTGGAATATTTCGCATGACATTTGTTTACAGTATTGTTAGCATCACATTTTTGCGTGTTCGGAGATTTTCGGTGATCAGCCATAATTGAATTAGCAAGAGTAGGAATGTCTTAATAATATGTTTCGTTAAAAAATATCCAGTCAGTTGATATTAATTTAATTTCATCATTTTTGAACTTTCTTATTGTGACAAAGTTTCTTACACTAATCTTATAGTTATCAAGCTTCTTACACTAATCTTATATATATCAAACTTATTACACTAATATTATATATATAAAGCTTATTACACTAATCCTATATTTATCAAGCTTCTTACACTAATCCTATATTTATCAAGCTTCTTACACTAATCTTATATTTATCAACCTTATTTACATTAATATTATATTTATCAAGCTTATTACACTAATCTTATATGTATCAAGCTTATTACACTAATCTTATATATATCAAGCTTATTACACTAATATTATATTTATCAAGCTTATTACACTAATCTTATATGTATCAAGCTTATTACACTAATCTTATATGTATCAAGCTTATTACATTAATATTATATTTATCAAGTTTCTTACACTAATCTTATAGTTATCAAGCTTATTACACTAATCTTATATTTATCAAGCTTATTACACTAATCTTATATTTATCAAGCTTATTACACTAATCTTATAGTTATCAAGTTTATTACACTAATCTTATATTTATCAAGCTTATTACACTAATCTTATATTTTTCAAGCTTATTACACTAATCTTATATTTATCAAGCTTATTACACTAATCTTATATGTATCAAGCTTATTACACTAATCTTACATTTATCAAGTTTCTTACACTAATCTTACAGTTATCAAGCTTATTACACTAATCTTATATATATATCAAGCTTATTACACTAATCTTATATATATATCAAGCTTATTACAATAATCTTATATATATCAAGCTTATTACACTAATCTTATATATATATCAAGCTTATTACAATAATCTTATATATATCAAGCTTATTACACTAATCTTATATATATCAAGCTTCTTACACTAATCTTATATTTATCAAGTTTCTTACACTAATCTTATAGTTATCAAGCTTATTACACTAATATTATATGTATCAAGCTTATTACACTAATCTTACAGTTACCAAGCTTATTACACTAATCTTATATTTATTTAGTTTCTTTCACTAACCTTATATTTATTACGATCCTCACAATGATCTTTTACTTAAATATTATAATATAATAAAAACAAATTGTGCTTTAAGGAATATATGGATGTTTTACGACATCATTATAAACTTGTAGATCTAAAACTTGGGAAAATCACCTCTGTTTAAAACCTGAGCCACTCTTTCATCTGATCCACTCCACAAAATAAGCAGCTAACCGTGCTGACTGACGTCATTAATTTCTATCCTAGTTCCTAATTACCGAGAAATATAATAATTAATAGTTGAAAATATCTGCTGTAGAGGTCGTGATTTTACAGGATTTAACTCGAACCTGTCTTAATCCGTCACAGCCGTATAGTTATACTGAATGGCTACTTTATAATTTGATTTATTCTGACACGGCCTTAACATCCCGCGTTATTCTAAAATATGCTATTACACGGATCTTAATGTACGAATCCGGATGTATATTGTAATCTTACATCTGATTAGTTTCGAGAATGACCGTTCTTATTATTCAGGACTGATAACGTAGGCCTAATGTCCTTCAATACTGTTGTTTTCGTATTTAGTTATTTTCAAATGTTACCCTACTAAAAGTATGAAATAAAAAATAAATAGCCAATTATTTATTTAGTAATTATTTCAAAAATAATACACGTGAAAAATTAGGGCTAGAATAGATGTTTCTGTTCTTTTAGTAAAACCTAACAACTATGTGAAATATTTTCTTTGTTGGTTAGCAATGAAAAAATGAGGATCATGTCGAGATGACAACGCCAAAAAGTCCAGAAACAAGGTAGGGATGCATACATAAAACCATACAAAAATTATAACCTGGGTTAGAATGGCCTTAAAAATATAGTTTTAGATTATAACCTGAGTTAAGAATGGCCTTAAAAATATAGTTTTAGATTATAACCTGAGTTAAGAATGGCCTTAAAAATATAGTTTTAGATTATAACCTGAGTTAAGAATGGCCTTAAAAATATAGTTTTAGATTATAACCTGAGTTAAGAATGGCCTTAAAAATACCAAGTTTTAGATTATAACCTGAGTTAAGAATGGCCTTAAAAATACCAAGTTTTAGATTATAACCTGAGTTAAGAATGGCCTTAAAAATACCAAGTTTTAGATTATATTCTTGGTTATCATGTAATCGGTCAATCCCACTATTCGTTGGTTAAAAGGTAGCTCAAGAGTTGGTGGTAGGTGTTGTTCACTAGCTGCCTTCCCTTTAGTCTATCACTTCAAAATTAGGAGCGGCTAGCGCAGATAGCACTCGGGTAGTTTTGCGCGAAATTAAACAAACAAACAACGACAGATACTACTTTCCGTACTCCATATTATGTAAAGAATTTCGCCACTACTAACCCCAACATTATCACCACCACCCTTTAGGCTGTAAATTTGGAAACGGACATTTCTAATTTAAAACTACTGACCAAATAGAAGGCAATAAACCAAACTGTGATGCCACCTACGCTACTACCCATAGCGAAATTATCTGTCACAGTTACAAAGATCTCAGAAATGCGGCTCGAACCTTGAACCTTCCGATCCGTCGTCCGACACGCTAGTCATGCACTAAGCCACTAGAGATGGTTTCATAATATGATTACGCGAGAACGTGAAGGAAAACTGGAAAAAAAAACTTGGAGTCTCTCACTTGGTTGTTCAGCCCAAAGTATATCTTACTTTAATTATATTTAGTTGAATACTTGCCTTTTTTTATTTTATTTTACTAAATGGATAAGTGAAATCGTGATATTAAAGTATATTAAGCTTACTACAACTTTAAAAGGTGATTTACCTTTTACACTTAACATAGTCGTGTTAGTGCCATCATATCACAGCGCCGGTTCTGTTTTGTTTTGTTTTTTACCGTACACTGATTCTTTAATAAGCGCCCTCCTATGACGATGACGTAAACCAACAATGATTTAGAGACAGTATACTAACACGTAACATATCCCTCCACTCTGTATGAACGGGGTTAAAGAGGAGGGAAAGACAAGGATTGTTGCAAATGTATCAGATGTGTGCCTATCTGAGGGTTACGAGACGTCATAAGCGCGAGCAAATTAGCTATTCACCAGTGACGTCATCTGTGAGAAGGTTCGTGTCGTGACCTCTGGATATAAAGATAAGCGAAATATGGTGTTAGTTCATATAGAGAGAGAGATTGGGAAGAGAGACGAAACAAGTAAGAGATAGCTCTTATCTATTATCTCACGAGGTAGAAGGAATTTCACACCGCGATCCTTTCGGTTTCTCGTGGTGTAAATGATATTTCGTTAGGAGAGTCTCTAGCGTACTGATGCCGATTGAATTTGTGGAAATAATCGCGTATAGTTTTGTTCGCATAAATTGATTCAAAACAAAAGATTGAAGTACAGTCAGCTTAAAATGATTGCACCCATGTGGGTAAGGAACACTTTTTTTTTTCTTCTTTCTATTTTAATGCTAGATATCTAAAACTATTCATCACAATTGTATATTTTAACACCATTACATGTTTAAAAAAATAAAGCCACAATATGGGCTACCTGTGTTGTGCCAAACACTGGTATCGAAATCCTGTTTTTAGAGTTATATGCCTTCAGACTTTCCGTTGAGCCACTGAGGAGCAGAAATATAGAATTTTCACTTTTGGTTAAAACACTGATAATAAATAATAAAGACATCACAATATGAGTAGTAATGAATTTGAAGTAATGAATTTAATCACTGACAATAAAGACATCACAATATGAGTAGTAATGAATTTAAACACTGATAATAATGACATCACAATATGAGTAGTAATGAATTTAAACACTGATCATATTGTGATGTCTTTATTATCAGTGTTTAAATTCATTACTACTCATATTGTGATGGTC